TTGTTTATACAAGGAACCGATATTTTGTTATAGACTCTTTCATTGGGCTTTGATTAATCTTTCCATTATGTATCAGAGATATAAATCCTAAGTTCATAGTAATACAGGACATATGACTGAATACATTTGTATTATAGTTCTTTTTTTCTCATTGAAACATTATATTTTATGTAATAATTTATATTTCTAGAAAACAAATCCCGGGCTTCTCCCTGCTCTGCACTGTCACCTTGCTTTCTCATGATCCATGCTAGCTAAAGTCATTGGCATAATGACATCAAACTGAGGGCCCAGAAGCAGGTCATTCTGCTGTGTTTTGAGGTCTCTGGGCTGCACATCAAAGCTGAAGCTGACCACTTCATCCTTGCCTAACCCACCCGTGAGGCTCACAATTGCCCCTGCTCTGTGATTGTCCATGATTTTAAAGTCACCAAAGTAACAGCTTTTCATGATCGCAGTTGGAACCCCAATGATGCCTTTGAAGCATGGCCTCATAAGAACCTGGCCCAAGGATGAGCTATAAGCACCTGCAGACTTTGCTCACACCTGTCTTTGTCCACAGATACATATACAAACCAATGTAGATTCTAGCATCATTTTTGCTCAGCAAAAGCAAATCCTCAATTTAAAACGCAAGCAAGAGGAAAACAACAAGAAGCTGATCACATAGCAGTATTGGTCTGGCAAGTAGGTAGAAAGAAAGGAAGAAAAGAAGCTGCAGATACTCATAAAAAAGAATGAGAAGGAGAAGGCTGGGGTAAGGATCACAGGACACAAACTCCTGTGATAAAAAGACCCACCACATCTCACACAGGTAATATGACATGACCTAGATGGTGTCACTGCCTCCAAAAGTTTTTGAAGGAATCAAATGAAAGCCAGATAGACAAAACACACTCATTCAACCATGCAGTTACAGGAAAGAGCCAGATCTTGCTCAGGTTTTCTTATAAAAAGAACTCCAATATCCACTTTATTTCATGTAATGAAGAGTGGTCCAGTTTTGGAAATGATGACAGATGCTATGGTTTGCCAAGTATCTCCTAAAGGTCCATTTGCTACAAGGCTTGGGTATCAGTCTTTGGCACTATTGGGAGGTATGACCTATAGAAGCCAGGCAAGGTCTTTAACCTGGTATAACCTTATCCTTTGACAGGTCTGGAAGCGGGAGCCAGGAAGGAGGCTGCTGATAACTGCTGAGACCCTCTGAGAAACACAAGACAGGTATCACTGACCCCTGGAGTTCCCTTATCATCCTCACAAAGCCAAAAAGATGATAAATCCCTCTTACAATGGACTCTGCTTTTTACATCGGATGCTCCCCACTCTCAATCTTTTCGCCTCTTGTGGTGCCAGGGTTAGTTTGTATTGTGAAGAAGTGTTTGACTATTGGTTTGCAGTTACTAATAAGTCACCTATGAGAATGGTGGTATTATGGATAACTTGTAGGAATGGCAGTATGACAAGGACTGTGAACGCTGTTTCTTGGAATTCACAGACAAAATAATATTTTTCATTTATGCTACCTATAGTTTGAAGCAATTTGTTTATAGAAGTTATACTTAATTTTTCCCTAGCTAATCTCTCCAGAGTCTGGAAAGCATTGGTGAATATTCTTATTTTTATAGGAATGTGGTTATTTTCATTGGTTCAATAAAAATCTGTTCTCTTTTTGACAGGATACAACTAGAGGAAAGGAAAACTGCCATTCCCAGGAATGCCATATTCAACAATGGGCCTAGAGTTCCTCAACTTAAGCAACTCTACTCCTTGTCATTACAGCAAAACAAATTTTAGAAGAGCTTATGTGCTTATTTTAGAAAAAATAATTATCTTCCAAACTAACTGACCTGACCATGGAGTCATCATGAACAGAAAGATTGCATTTTTACTATGAATAACCACTACAAAGACAACACTATGCAATGTATTAATTCTTTTTGCAATGTATTAATTATTGAAACTGTCCTACTAATTGGTTTTGAAACTGTCTCATTGCTATTTGTTTCTCAATAAAATTAATGAAAAAAAAGAAATATTGCATTTCTGAGGAAAGCCATAGTACACCTGCTACTAGTTTGTGTATCTGTTCACTGCTCTTGAGTATTTAACAAATATTTATAGACTGGACTAGATTTTAAATTTTTCAGTTTTCTCCAATATCTAGCTAAAAGTCTACAACTAAGAACAAAACCTGCTCTGTTCCTGAACCCCAGAAAGTTGACGAACAATGCAAATGTAAGTTTCAAAGGACAAGTCTTATACCAATATCTAGGGTTTGGTTAAGTGTCACCCAAGGGTATATTTACTAAAGGATTTGGACACCATTCCATGGCATTGTAAGGAGGTGTGGAAGATTTAGGAGGTAGAACCTCATGGAAAGAAGGTGCTGGGATGCATGCTTGGAGGGTATCCTGGAACTGCAGCCTCTTTTCTTTCTTTTGTTTCCTAACCACCAGTGAGCAGCTTTCTCTGCCAAAGAGCCCCAGCCAGACATTATGCGTCACTAGAGGCTCAAGGGCAATGGATAAGGTCAAGCAACCATGGCCTAAAATCCTTGAAACCATGAATCAAAACAAAGCTTTCCCCTCCTTGAGAGGTAATTGACTCAACTAAGCAACTGCACTAAAACAAAGCTGACTAATATAGCCACAGAGTTCACCAAAACACCTAAAGTCACACCCAGAGATATTCAGACTAAAAACAAGGAAGAGAGCTTAATTTTGTGCTGTAGGCAGCTTTTTCCAAGACTGTCATCAAGACAATCATAGTTACTTCTAAGAATGTAATTGGAACAATCATGATTATCTCCCTATCATAATAAGACTCTTCTCTTAATTTTTCTCTTGTTTATGCCTGTCTCTTTAATTGTGGAGGTTAATTCTATGTTTAGAACTCCACAATCAGTAGCTTCTGGGTAACTACCATGTTGGAACTAGAGTGTTGGAACTATCCTGTCAAATCTAAATCTTTGCCGTTCCTAAAAGATCTCTTAGTCTACCTAGGGAGTAATTTTAGCAAAATCCCTAATGCAACTGTTTGCTCAAATCATCCTAGTGGTCTCACTTACAGAGTTAGCACTCGGCTTTAACTTAGCCAAGTCCTGGTATGCTAGATGACAGAGCTACTACCTACTAACTGAACAAAGAGGAATCTGGGCAGTTGTTGACACTTCTTGTGCATGTAGATAAATAACTGGGTATAGAGATTCAGGTGCCAGTATTAACAAATAGTAAGGGGGGGGGGGATAAACTTGTCCACATAATTCCTTGATCCATCTCACTTTGTTGTTGTTGTTGGTATTGGGAATTGAACGCATGACCTAGCACTTGCCAAGCAGGTTCTGTGTCACTGAGTTATATCTCCAGCCCAACCCATTGGATTTTAATTGGTTTGATTCATGGGGACCTTGGGTAAGGACTATAACTGAAGTCCTCAGTATTACTCTTCTGCTCGTCAACTTTCTGATACATGGTACACTCTCAAAAGTTTTATATGCTTGTGTGCAGCCATCTGTTGAATATCAAATGAACAGTCTTTGGCTAGAACAACAAAAACTGAAAGAAATGTGTCATCCTGAGGCTTCCTTAACCAACAAATGATATCTTAACAACAGTAGTTCAAAATAATGCTAAGCATAATGTTAATATCCTAAGTTTTGGTTAGGCTGCCACTTAGAAGCAAAATCAAAAGAGGAAAATATTAAATAAAAATTAGAGAAAGCCATTGTTTCTAGCTAAGCTAATCAGCTATTTTTTCAATTGTTCTGTTCCCTTGTCCTTACCTTAAAAGAAAGTAACTTTGAAATAACTAATCCACTTTTAGCTTTCATTGTTACTTTCTTTAGGCACTTGTCTATCTACAAAACTGGCTTCCTGAGTTCTGACCATCAGAGCACTTACTCTATTTTATAGAATGAAGTTTTCATGATTGTATAATTGAAAATAAAGCCAATTAGGCAGTTTTGCAAGATCTTTTGGATCTGGCTGTCAGCCACGCCATGTGCCAAGACTTTTCCACACAGTCCTTGTAGCCTGGCTGAAGAGCCCCCATCTTCACAAGGACTCGTTCTCCACATGTCCCACCCTTTCTACCCAGCCTCCCAGTCACAGCCTGGGCCACACTCTCCCTCACTGCCATCCAGCCACTCATTCAGGCTGCTGAGGGAGGACGCCTCATAAGTGCCCCTGAGTCTTGCTCACTTGCCCCGACCCTTGGCCTCACGCAGCCTCCTCCTCTTCCCTATAACACCTTCACTATGACACCTTCTAACTGCTCTCTTCCTTGCATCTTTCTACACTATCACACAAAACAACTAAAAGGAAATCTGACCACGTTGTTTGTTGACTAAACTCAGTGCCTTGTCCAAGAATGGGAAAACTTCCATTCCCTAACGCCTCCCTTCCTGTTCCACTTCAACCTAAAAGTCCTCATGACACAGCATGCTCAGGCAGTGTATACTGCTTGGCAGCTCCCTAAATACCCTGTAACCTTTTACACAGAACATTCTTACCTCATATTTCAAGCCTCATCCTGATCATCATATCCTCCAATAGGCCACGCATGCCTGCATCCCACCTCAGGCAGTCCAGATGCCCTTCCTGAGTGGCTGGAAGGTGCACTCTATACATCTCAATAATAGACACACCACATTGTTTTGTCATTACCTCTTGCCTCGACTTGAACTGTGAGCCCACTGAAGCATGCTGTCCAGTGCATTATCATGCCACCAGTTGATCAAACACAGCCCCAGTGTGAGAGCACAGCTCCAGGGTGCACAGAGCTGGAGGTCAGGGCTCCTCCCTCCAGCCTTTCACCACAGAAAAGGCATTTCTAAGCATCTTTCTCTGCTAAAATCCAGATGAAGAATTGAAGCTTCTGACCCTAAAGCTTTATGCCAATTGTTTGGGCAGAACTCATAATAATCTCATGTTAAAAAAATTGAATAGTCAAAAGAAGAGGAAAGAGAAAAGCTCAATAAACGTGTAAATCATAGTTACCCTTTTAGTGAGCAGGTGAGGCAATTCCTCTTCAATAGTACACTCCTCTGGAATCTTCAACATGATAAAGAATGTTTTGTTTGATGATAATTCAATTCTGTCATTTTCATCTTCATCGATGTACATTACTAAAGAGAGTCGGGAAGTGAAAATAGAAAATAAAAGTCAATCTGTATGTAAAATAAACTCTTCTGTTCTGTTGCCTGCTGTACATATTAAACAGAACCTGAGCACTAGTCAAGAATAGAGCTTTGCCATGGTAAGGAAGTACAAGCTTTCTCCACTGAGTAAAACAGAATGAAAGACAGGTGCTTGCCTCCATTAGGAGAAAAGTTTTGTATGTGTGGCCAAAGTGGTCTTGGATATCACTGAATACAGACTCGAGGAAGAGCCAGAGGAAAAGAGTGCAGTGAATAGGGACACCTTTGCTAAAACAAATCACCAACAGAGTGAAAAGAACCCAGAGAGTGGGAAAGAATTATAGCCAGTTGTCCCTTAGACAAAAGCCTTCTATCTAGATCATATAAAGAATTGAGAAAAAAAAATAAGGTCCACAAAATTAAAACACCCAAACCAAAAATGAGCATATGAGTTGAATAGACATTTCTCATATGAAGAAATACAAATGACAAATAAATATGTGAAAAAATGTTCAACATCATTGGTCATTTGAGAAATGTAAATTAAAACAACACTGAGATTCTGTCTCACACCAGAAAGAATGGCTAACATCAAGAAGTCAGCCAATAATAAATGCTGGAGGTGCTCCATTCTTAGAGAATGGAGAAAGGAACCATTCTCCACTGTTGGTGGGAGTGTAGACTGGTGTAATCATTGTGGAAATCAGTATGAGGATCCCTCAAAAAGCTAGGATTGGAAATCCCTTTCAAGCAAGCTATTCTTCAGGGTATTTTCCAAGAAGAATTAAAAACCTCATACCACAGTGATATATATACACCCATGTTTATAGCAGCACAATTTATGTTAGCTAAATCTTAGAAACGGCTGGGGAGATAGCTCAGTGGAATAAGTGCCTAGCAAGTGCAAGGTCCTGAGTTTGATCCTTAGTACCACCAAAAATAAATAAATAAATCTTAGAAACAACCCAAATGCCCATGAAATGAGGAATGGATTTTTTTTTTAAATGTGGCTTCTTCATATAATGGAATACTACTCAGTCATTGAGAAGGATAAACTTAAGACTTTTATAGGTAAATGGATGCAACTCAAGACCATTCTGATAAGATAAATCAGACTCATATGCATATGTAGTATGTTGTCTCACGAATGTGAGAAACTGAATGAGCAGATACAAAGTGTACAATAGATATCTAAATAGGGAAGAAACTGTTCAAAGAGAAAGAAAAAGTATGATAGGAGAAAGGGGAAGGAAGAAAGGGAAAAGGAAATATATACCTACATAAGATAGTTAAGACGGTTATACAGCTAATTTTGTCTTAATTAAAAAAAGGTTTGTGCTAATACTTTTTGGACAATATATCATGCCTGTATCTTGTACTCTGAACAACTACTATGAATATAACAATAGGCAATGCATTAGTTATTGTTACTCTCCTACTAGCCTGTTTTGAATTTATTTTATTGTTGTTTTTAACTTCTTTTTGTTTAAAATAAAAATTTAAAAGAACACCTTTGTTAAACTGAACCTGCACCTTCACTATGTACACAGATGTCGGGGCAGGTGCCAGGAGACAAGAGGAGGTGGAAGGAGAACAGCAGTGAGCAACTTCATTGCATCACCTTTCTGTCCTGTACTACCAAAGACCGTCAGGAGAAAGTGGCACCATGAACCAGAACAGAGATGCACCCAGAAAATGAGCGTGTGAACCCATGTCTTGAAGTCTCCCCAGGAATCAGCACATGGATATGAAGTCACTGCCCTAGCTGGTCCCCAGCAAAAGAATGTTGACACATTCTGTTTGCAGAAGGGAAGCCAAACTTCACTCAGAGCCTGAGGGCCAGCAGGTATTACCTGCCTGGGACAGTGAGCTCTGTGTTTCTCCTGTTCTAGAGACTGCTAGTTAACTGATTTGTAAGCAGTCAGAGCTGAAAGAAAACAAAGCCAAGAGCCAGAAGCTGGCAGCGTTGCACTCATTACGCTCCTGCGGCTCCACGCCAGCCTCCCAGGCTGGTCCTGCACAGGGCCACCTCTCTGGCCCTGAGAAAGGTGTGGGTGGGAGGAACCAGGTGTGCAGAGATGGCACCCTTAGGTGCCATACCTCACACGTAACAAAACAAGCCTCTCTCCCTGGACTTTGAAAAGCTATTGTGGAATAAATTTAGTGTTTTAATGGAAGAATAAGTTTTTTAAAAAAAATCTGCTATTGATTCTCTAAAAAAATCTGAAAATGTAAGGCAACATGTGCAAAGTGTGTAGAAAAGAGTTAGTATAGCAGGCCTGACATCATAGGTTTTAAAATCTGCTCAAGCTTAGCCCCTTAGCTGGCATATAAGGCCAGGTTTGGGAAAGGATCCCACTATTTCTTCATAAGAGGAGGTCACTGGACCCCAAAATTTTGAGCCCACAATGTGGCTAATGGTGCCTTTTTTGTGGAGGTCTCAAGTTGTGGTCCATGCTAAGCAGAGATTGTCTGTACCAACTCCCAGTGAAAACACAGGACGCGGGATGTCTAATGACACTGACGAGCATTCCCACAATGCACTGCTGTAGAAATTAAGCATGCCTTGGGCAACTACACTGGGAGAGGGCTCTGTAAAGCTTGTGACTGGTTTCTGCTAGACTTCGCTACAATAAATTCTCCAATGTACTTTTTTTTTTTTTTTTTTTTTTTTTTTTT